GTTTAATCAAGGCAGTAGCCCGTTGCGGCTTGCGGTTCAAAGCTAGCTACGGGTTTGCGCGTCAGTGCAAAGGAAAGGGTGTACTAGAGAGAGAGGAAAATGAGGGGCTGATAGTGCTGGTATAATAGTAATCGTAGTTGTATTAGTTGGGTAGTAATAGTAGTGGTACTACAATAGAAGTAACAGTAGCACCAACAGTGGTTGGAGTAATCGTAGAAGTTCCTATAGTCATAGTGTTGATGGTGGTGGTAGTAAACGAAGCGAAATGGTCGAAGGGGTAAAGAGAAACTTGGATATATCAGGTGGGTTTAGTGGTCGCCAATGCCTCGACCAAAGAGTGGCCACTGGGCACGAGCAGCAGACCACATCCACCCACACTTAGAAGGTTGCTACCATGATGAGAGTATACTGGTACAACATTTCCAACATGTAGTTGTAAGACCACAATTCCACAATGCGCCGAATCAACGATTGATTCTCGTTACTTTACCAGCTTCTATTCAACTCACCCATGGAACGAAGCAAACTGAAATTCGATATCAGTATGTGTAAGCTAGTTCAAAGTGTGGTTTACTTGAAACAAAAAACGGTTCAATACGGAGCGGAGTTTCCAAGCCAATTGTTCAAGCTATATGTTTGTTAAATAAACTATGGTTTTAAGTTAAGTAAGCTTGCCATCACTGGACTACTTTTTCAAAGTTGATACTTTGGAAAGTTTAATTAGAAGATTGGAATCATTTCTATGTACTTAATTCACTAAAATGTTCGTCCCTTTATTAACTAATCGCAGCAAATAAATTCTATTTTTATCATTTGAATATTATTGTTCAAAATCTCCAACCAATTGTTCATCAGACACTTGATGGATTAATTGAATACATAATGATTTATGCAAGTAACTAATCATTTCGTGAGGAGTAGAACTGATAGTTGATGTGCATAAGCTCGTGAACGTAGTTATCAAGCCCATGAACATCAGAATGTGGTTGTCTGGTGAAGCTAAGCGTCCGACTGACCGGAACCTACTCTCAATGTATGAGGTTGTGGTTAAGCATGACAGTGAGTGTTAGAGTTGCGCGGTAGCGAGCGAGTAAGTCTGTTAACGTAGTTTCAGTGATCCTTACTGAACCTGATTTACCACCATCTGCTTATTCATAACATTCTATGTTGATCTTGTCTACTAGTGACGTCAATGCTGAATATCCTCTTTCATCACCATCAATAAACCACCTACGGAGGTTCTAGAGTGTTCAAGACCGTCCCCTTATTAGTAGATATCAGTTCGTCGAAACCCTCATCTATGAGGGAACGTCCAATATCTATGATTACCTCCTAATTCGCCTGATCCCAATGAACCGAGGATAATCGATCATTCTCTTACAGAACATGGTGTGCAGTCCAAAGCTCATGTATCTCGTCAATCTTGACACGATAACAACCATAGCTCATCATGAGATTATAACATTTTGAAATTTACCTAGATTTAGAGATTGTTATAAGTCACAAATTATGTAGAATAAATTTTTGAAAAAATAACTCAAACATTTTTCTCGAAATATTGATTAGCTGTCCATGTTTATTTATCGCAAATACCGAAAGAAAATAATAGTTAATACAGAATAAAATGACGTGGAAGCTGTCATCATGATAATATATTTCCTGAAACTACTTATCCTCTGGTACTTGATATTCTTGATATAATGCAAATACTTGACCTCTTCATGAGCTTGACCTTCCAATATCAAACAACGTCTTGATGTCCATACAAGGAGAGAGTAAGAAAGGAGAAAAAAAATCCACACTGGAGCCAGGACTACTTGAAATCTCGAGTGCTGACGAGGCACTCAGTTGCTCAAATATCCAAACATCCTCGTGGCTTCATCCAAGCTTCGTTTACTGCAGAGAAAAAATATTTTATTCTAGATACAATTCGTCTACATCATCAATCTTATCTAGCAATATCAGCGTAATATTTTCCTTCTAGATACTACATTGACAATTCCAATGTATATTATTTCCAGTCCTGTGATTTCTCAATTACACGTTTCCCATTGTTGTCTATTTGTCTAGTTCTTATTTAAGTTGCTTATATACCTTCTCTTTGGTATCCTGGAGAATCGCTTGAACCTCGAATTGATTGATTCTAGTTTGCCTTTGAATCCTAGTACATAATAGTCCATTCTCCTGTTCAAACCCACTGACTATACTACACTTTGCGATTCAATAATACCACTATGAGTGGTCTGACTATTTGTCTGTCTACATGTTGTTGGAGAACAAAAAGAATTTCTTATAACACGAGTTGTAATATAGAAAGCAAAGAAAAATTTAATAAAAGTAATTCAGCTGTGGTAGCGTAAAAATACGTGCATTTTATCTGTGAAAAAGAATAAGCAGTATTCAAGTATATCACTTTCAAAACAACATTTCCAAGTATATCATCATACCGACGGCATAAAGGAGAATAAGAAAAATACATGAGAAAAAGTTGGAATATGGAAGCAGCACGATTCAAGAGTTTCTAAAAGTATTGGATTATCGGGGTATCGAACAGCACTGAAGGAATAACGTAGTTGCTGTAGAAAGTATGTAAAAAATGAAAAAAGAAAATGACGAGTGTGTATAAGTAAAAGCAGAAAAGTTGAAAGAGGCGCCATGAGAATATTCGGTTTATATCACCATTTTACTGCCTAAGAATTTTATCGCACTTTTGTCATCGTATTGCATTTTTATTTTATACTCTTCTTTATACCATATATCTATCAGTTAACTTTGGAACTCTATTCTCATGCATCTTTCGAGTTTGCTAATGGATAACTTATTCTTTATTGAGCAGTGAAAAAAAGATTTCATCTTTTTACGGTCAATAAAAAGTTGGTGACTAAATTAATTTATTGTTTATAAGTTTAAGTTATTAATTTAAATAATATTTTTTCATTATTATCATTTGCATAAAATAGACTTGAACAAATGGAATGAAAGGAAATATAAATTTCCGTAATTCCTCAAAATTAAGATTCTGAACTACTCTACAGTAAATGTTTGAAAACTCGATAATTTCGTTAAGTCACAATTGTCGCTTTCTCTTGAACAGAAATGAATAAGGGTTGAAAGTAACGGTATATAGTAAAGTCTATGTAGTAAAGAAACGAGTTACGTTAAAAACAGCAGCTCTGCTACCCTGGAAAAAAGGTTTTACTAGCAGAGAGTCTTTTTTTCCTAACTCCGACTCTCTCATCCACCCTTCTGCTCACTCGAGAGCACTTCTATCCCATTCATTATTTTCTTGGTTACCTCTCGCCCAGGGAAAACTTCTCGGCAACGCAATTACGTTTGCAGCTGCTCTCCGCCTCCTCACTTGTCTCGATCCGCCCTCAGTCTCCTCTTCCTTCCTCCTTTTGCTCTGCTACTCTTAAGCTCACTTTTTTTCCACAATTTTCCTCATCTTTACATAGACATATACCTTGGTATACTACTCCTGTCTCATCACATTGCTGCACAGGGAAATTCTCATTTTCTTTTTCTTTAAAATCCTAAAATATCTCTCGATCTTTATCTCACTTTTCTCCTCTTTTTTCGCATGCCTTATAATTAGTGGCTTAATGACTCAGGGGAAGTAGTGGATAAGAGAGGAAAGCGACGAGTAATTAAAACAACTCCCTGTTCCCTTATGTCTTGTGCTCCCCTATCTTACGACAGTTTTGATCCCTTGCTCGCATTATCTGTTACCCCAACTTTTATCTTTGCTTCTCACTTCTGCACTTGTCTTTCACATTTACTCTTTTCCACTCTACCTCCTACCTCATTCGACTTTTTCCTCACTTATTTCACTGCCATTCGAGGGAGAAATATGTCAGGAATTTCAGCGGCTACGATATTTCAATTAGCGCTTGCACCCTCACCAATCGATTCACGTTATTTCAAAGGTTTTTAACAAAGAAAGGACTGTGTGACTTTGCCACGAGACTGCTTGTATTCTCAATAAATTTTCGAGAGTCTTTTCTTGTAAATAAGTCAAGCAAAAAAATAATATATTAACTGGCTCTAAGTAATAAATTTTACTCCAAACAGGGAAGTTTTTGTGTGATATTTTATTCACAAATTGAATTAAAAATAAAATGGATTATGTTTAGAAGTGATTTGAGTGTCATCATTGATGATAAAAATATGTAATGATTATTATAATCACTTAATAACTAGGAGATTAAATTTTAATATTACATCGTTTTATTAATTATAAAAATTAGAGAATAATTTATATCAGATTATGAAGGGATAATTTATAAATTCAACAAGATTTTTTTTTTATTCAAAAAGAAAAAAATAATAATTTATGAGATGGTAAAAGGTAAAAACCAACGGCTTTCTAGGGACGTTTAATTGCTGAGAATTTAATAACAGGTAGACAGAGTAAAAGATGAAAATAAACTTCATGGTGTCTGGGTAATTTTGTTAGCAAGATTGAATTGTCAATGAAATACTTCTTTGTGCTTTAGTATTAAATATTTATTCATTTTTTGAGATAATAATAAATATTATTTGATCTCATTTATTAATAATTGAAATATTTATTTAAAATTCTTTTCATTATTTAATAATAAATATTATGTTTCTTAGCCCAAAATTAATTATCTTTCGAGACGTTTTAATAAAACTTTTTAATTATTTTCCGATTGAACAAAAATATAAGAAGTTTTAATAAAGTTACTTTGAACTAATAAATCAAATTACTGTTGAATCAATAATAAGATACTTGTTTAAACAAGTTGTTAATAGCACCAAGGAAACATTAAGAAATGTGGTTGGCATTGAGAAATTGGTGCTGGTACTCGGTTGATTCAATTTTGGAGCTCGTCTTGCTTTGATATTGAGCTTGATTGCTCCTTGCGGGCGTTCTCGACTCTTGTCGTTTGCACTGAAAGCTTTTGCGCATCATGCTTAGGTACGGACTTGACTTGATTGACCCCAATGATAATTGAATATTTTCTTTGATGTTTCAGACGGAGATAGCAAAGAGATTGAGCGCCATCATAGGACAAATTTTACCATTTTTATCACAAGAACACCATCAGCAAGTAGCCAGTGCGGTTGACAGAGCAAAACAAGTTACAATGACTGAACTTAATGCGATTATTGGGGTGAGTCTTTCATTCAGACATAACTAATAAATGATTTAAAAGTAATCTTCTTTACATAAACCTATTTAGTTCATTTGAATGAACGTTTTTATAATTAGATTTACTTGTGATGTATGATTTATTATTTCCTGTGAATTTCTATTTAAATTAAAAAAAATGTTATTGCTTAATTGTAATTAGTAGGAATCAATGATAGCCAAAGCTTTATCAACTATTTGAAAAATAGTTATCGAAGCAGTTAATTCAGTCTAGGATGATCCTTTTTTCTAGCTTACAATATAAATTACTAGCGAAATAATATGTTCTGATTTCAATTAACTTTTTTTGCTAAAAACAATTCCAGTGCTAAAGTAGCTTCTGTTCAGCTGACTGACGGCAATTAGGTTTTTCTTTTGTCTTAAATCTTCTTATAATTCCATCGAAACGATCTGAGAATCACTGTTACATCGTGAGTAGAAGTCGGAAACCAATGCACGTCTTGTGAATCTAAAAGCGGACAGACAGATACATTGAAGCTTTTATCTTCCTCCTTCTCCTTTCCTTCTTCTCCTCTTCTCTCTATTGGTTGTTCGCGAATCCTGAATCCTTCTCAATATTACTCGAGCACTCAATTTCCTCCCTATTAAGCCGCCAGCTTCTCCAACTCGCTCGACATATTCCCCTTGCTGCCCTCCATCTCAACTCCTTCCGCTTTCTACCTATAACCAACCTCCTGAATCTTATCCGGAGTCTACTCAAGCTCTACCGCTTGGATGGGTTATAGTGTTATGGTGCTCGAGCGCCGACTAATCAGCATTCCTCGCCCGACCGGTGTGGAAAATAAAGAGGGGAAATAACCCAGAGGGAGAAACTTGGGATTCTCACAAGCGACGTTGTCGTTACGTGCTGCAAATCCTTAACAGAACACAGAATACTTGGATACGTCCTAACTGTCTTTTTCCCTCTTATTCCCATCGCCATACACCCATCCATATTCTACTCCTCTTCACTTGTCCTCACACCCCTTCATCCTTTAAGTCTTGTGGCAAGGAAAATTCCAACGTAACTGACTCGTCTGTCACTCGGGAAACTTAGCAATGAGATTCCAAGTTATCCGCATTACCCAACGATAGATGTTATTCCTTATTTTCTTATACATTTCTAAGAACTATTCAGAACTTGTTTACCAAGATACTCCTTGAATTAAATATTTATGTGTACATATATTACTTAATCATTAGTTTTTTGCTAAAAGCATACCTTTTATTTCTTTTCATTTATTTATTTTTCTAGAAAGAACCATAATTGCAATTTATTTCGATTTTTATTGATAATAATTATTTCCACATTTAATAAGAGAGATCCGAGGGACTTAATCTTGAAAGGGGAAAATAAACAGATGTTATTTTCGAAATTGGATCTTCATTACTTAATTATAGCTTTTATATTAATTTACAAATACAGTTATCTTTTATTTATTCATTAATTTTATTGCGGTAATTCAAAACAATTAACCTTTAAATGAATCTAATAAATTCTTAACATTATTATTCGATAATTGTTATTTATTATTTAACATTCAAATGAACATTTGCAACTACAAAAGACCCATCAAGATATATGTGTATAAATTTCCAACCAAATGACTCTATCAGTAGCAATAAAATTTTTTTAGCATAATTTATAAATGGCCAATATTTTTTATTCTCCCCTCTTGGTACGGATGTCACAATAGATATAAAAAATTCAAGCGGTTTAATTTTTTGTATCATTTATTAATCACAATTTTTCAAGTCAAGTCAGCTGACTAAAACTGCTGATCTGTGATGGAAAAAATACGATCCTGTCTCACTTAATAACATTTCATGTGTCATTTTTTTAAAACTAGAATATGTTAATGTTTTTTTCTTCTTTTTTTGCACCAAAAAAGTAATAGAAATTTCATAGTCATAATTTCCCTTGTTTCTATGGATTTAATGTTTTTTTGTATAGTTGAAATAATTAAAACAACCAGCATTTCCATGTTAACTTTTGTGGTGTGGAAGTAAAGTGCTAGATGCAATTTCGCATCTCGGATGTATGTTTCACTTCTCAGCCATCCGTGTCGTACTAACGTTGGGTTATTATATCGTTAAGCCATTTAATTATCTCAGCAAACTACTCGCCGTAATAGTCGACTCATATACCGAGTCATCTTTCTCTGTCTCTCAGTATCTTCATCTTTCTTGCTCTCTCACACTATCGTTCTCCTTCTATCCAAGCATTTGCCACCCTCTTATGCCCTCTTCCTCTGTTCGTCTCCAGTTCAAGCAACCCCAATCCGTTCTAACGAGTGTACACGAAGCCCCAGCTCTCTCGTAATGCCAGCCTTCACCCTCTTAACTTCTGTTACCAACTCCTGGTTTCTCTACGGAACGTCGAAACACTGTTGAAACAGTTTACAATTTGTCTGCCAGTATTGCGGGCTCACTCTTTCTCGCCTCACTCTCCTTTAGATTTAATGTTAACTACCTTCTTCATTTTGCTTTACTGTTGTGTACGTACATTTCACGTCTCTATTTGATTTCATTTCACACCTCAATTTAAAAACTAATATTATTTAAGGCCTTTTACTTGTTGATTAAACACTTTTTATTTATTTATTTTTTGTTTCAATCCAATTAACTGTGTTTTGTAAAGAAAGCTGTTTCGACTTTTTTTTCAGCATTTAATTGCATGAGATAACTGAACAGTAGTATAACTCGATCCAATTAATTTAAGAAGCTCATCTTATTGATGGAAAATTATTTGTGGATGCTTTATAAATATCAGTTTTAAACTTTGCTCAACGGAAATTAATTTAGTTTGAAATTATTTTTAATAAAATTTTTCAATGAAATTAGATATATTTTTATGAAATTGGATTACATTTAAAATTAAATGTCAAGTATGTATATTTTTAAATTTCATTTGATGTTATTAACAGTCCAGGTTACTCTTTTTTATATGTTTGGAAATTTCAAAATATTTGCTGACGTCTCTTTTAATTTCTTCTTTATGAATACTTGATAGTTTTACCAAACCCAATGCAATATAAACTCATATGGTTTTTAACCTGGTGATTAATTTATATTACAAATAAAAGCATTTGAAGAAACAAAAAATGAATGAAGAGAACATTTAAAATATTTCAAAAGTTTAAATAAATATAATTCTTATAAAAATATTTAATTTAAAGTTACGATAACAAAAAAAAAAATAACTCATCTGCTGAAACTGCTTGGTGGTACTTGAATAAATTTATATACATCTAGGTATATATGAAAAAGTTGGAATTTAACTGAATAGTCACATTACCCCTATCTCTTTTTCATTATATATCAGTCTCTTTTTTCAAGTGAGCTAGTGAATTTATTTATTCATCAGTAACGACAGCAGGCACGTTCGACAAACAGAGCAGACTAACGAAGCTCTGCAATTCAATGTAACGCACGGACATCAACCCCTCGGCTAGTCTGTCTGTTCTCTTTCTCTTCTCTTTTCTATTTCCATTCTCAATCCGTCCTAACCATATCCACTCTCGAAAAACCCAATATTTGATGGAATTACGTGCTTTTTAGGGAGAAGGTTATTATTCCTCTGATTCACCAATTAAATATGGTTTTACTCTTGTCGGCAATTATGATCCCTCCATTTTTGTTTTAAATCCTACATTATTATTAATCCTTTTTCACTCGATGTCCCCATCATTTGATATTTAAATCAATTAATTGAAAGAGTCTTATTGAAATCAATTGTTTATTTAATTTTAGCAACAAAGGCCGGATTTACCTAGATTACTTCAACAAATGCACGCCCAACAATTACCACCAGGTGCTGCCATGGGTCCCCATCCAGGAATTCCTGGTCTACCTGGTCTTGGACCTGGTGGAGGACTTCAAGTACCCACTTCAGCTTCTGCTGCTTTACTTGGTCTAGGACTTCCCCCTGGTGCTGGAGCTACTCCTGGTGCTGCTGGTGCACATCCTTTATCAATGTTAGCTAAACCTGATATTCTTCGTGGTCAACCTGATGACTTAAAACCTAATGGAGGTAAGTTAGATATTTGGTTTATTTAGAATAAAAGCATGAACTTGAAAGTAAAATGAACGTTAAAATTTTCAAAAAGCTTTAATTCAACTAATTTGTATAAAGTTGATGAGTTTTGGAATAAAAATTAATGAATAAATAATGGAGTTAAAGTAGTTGATTGTAAGTTGGAGAATAAACTTGCTAAGAAAGATATAAATGTATAGGTAAGACAAAGAAAAAAAGAGAAAGAAAGAAAGATCTACCAGAAGAATTGAAAGAAGTAGGTCTGGTATAACTAGAGCTTTTCTGCAACGTCGGCACGTCTTCTCTGATTCTGATCGTTTACGAGGGCGCATCAAGATAGAACCAGCTTGTTCGTCCAATGTTTACTTAGCGTCTTCATCGTAGAAAAAGCACCTTCTTGTTCAATATCCGACCCTCGTCATCGTCTATTTTCTCAAACTTTTTTGATTTTTTGTTCTCTTTCATATTAAATTGCTTGTGAAACTATAATCTTTTCTTATAAATTTCAAATAAAAATTATTTTACCAACAAAACTTGTCTTTTTTCATAAACTTTATTTTCAATTTCTTATTTTAAATAATAAACTGGATAGTTTGGAACACTTGATCTTGCACAAGAAAACCAAGTATCTTGACTCATCTCTTTGACTTTACGTGTTAGAACTCAATCTCCAAGGAATGCTGACAAAGCTGCGGTTTTTGTGGCCTCTTGTTCTCTTCGTCCAACTTATACCCTTTCAACTCCGTCCTACTTTTACTATATATACTTGACTGGTTTTCTACTTGGAGAGGACTCACCGAGCTTCTCTCAACATAAGGGTGCTTCCAACTCCGTTTCCTCTTGTAACGTTCTGTCCTTGGTACCTCTTCTCTACTCGAGTTGGCGCCTGGATTAGACCATTCAACTACTCTCTTTTATATTTTAGCTTTCTTATTTCTTTCGACCTACCTTGATATTTATAATCCCATCTTCATCTAATTTTCTAGCATCTAAAATTATACCAGAATTTTTTTAAAGGAAAAAGTGTTAGAATAATGAACAAAACCTTTTTGAAAATTTGACGAATAAGTAAAGCTCTAAAGAGCTTTTTTACCCTATGAATAGTTTATTTTAAAATTAAAGTGGCTTCTTTTAGATCATGTTTCTAAGTACACCAAGTAATAAAGTTTGTTTAACATCAAAGATATAACGATAATTTATTTATACATAGTGTAAATAATTATTTTAAGTACTATTAATTATAATAATAATTATTCTTCGAAACTCAATATTTGTTGAGTTGAAAAAACTCATTGAAAAGCTTTTTCCAAAGTCAGCTATATCTTAAACTATTTTTACATCATTAATTCTATTCAATAAATATAATGTTCTCAATTGAATAAATTTACCAACTTTTTAAATTTATGTACTTAGGAGAATTTTTCAAAAGATAAACGGTAATATCAAAGACAAAGGCATATTTGAGTTTCACTCGATTTATTTTCCTTTTTTTTTCATTCAAGCTTTTTTCCACCCTTTTACTCGACTTTATGAGATAAAAAACGTGGGCTAAGGGAATATTTACAGATCCTTCGTTGGGAATATTGTCAAGGAAAAAAGCTAAAGGTCATTGGTTCTAAAGACGAGCAGATTCCAGCAAAGTCGTGTAAGCATGCAAGTATTTCGTAGACTCGAATTACAGCTGACTCTGGCTTTCCGAACACTCGATTTATTCGATAAAAGCATCATGCCTGGCATCGATGGTCCTTTAATAACGTTCCTCTATTGCTTTAAGTTCTCTCATTCAACCGTTTTTTCTTTTTTTTTTTGTTCCAGGTCTAAATCCTGCTGAAGAGAGGCATGTAAGTAAATCAAATAAAAATATCTGCACATAATTTTTGAATTTATTTATTCATATCTTATTGAGTTGAAAAGGAGTGACGATTGAAGGTTAAATTGACTTATAAAAAGTTTTTTAATTTTTTTTTTTTTTTTACATTTAAAGCAAGTTTTTTCGTTTTTATTTTCCAGTTAAATGTAAATGATTCTTTTTTCAATATTATTGAAAAGTCTCATCACAATCAAATTGACCAGATTCAAATATTAATGATTTTTATATCCAATTGAAAGACATATGGGTTATCGCTTTTATGTCAAATGTCGAAAAAAATAATTAAAACTCATAGTCGGTATTTTCATGGAAAAAAAACAAACTTTATTTCACTTGAAATATTCGTTTTTAATTTTTTTTTCAATAAATATTTGATCAGTCATGAATATTATAAATTATCATAGGTAAATAGAAATATTAAAAAAATATTCATTTTAAAATAAAAAATTTTAACATTTAATTGAGATGAACGATTATTTCTTGTTTTTTATCCAACAAATATTGTAACCTCGTGTCTTGTTTAACTAGTTACAATGATGAACACTGTCATCGATTTTCATTTATTAAATTCCATATCAAACAGATTGATGTACCAAAGTATGTTATACAATTCATCGTATAGAGTTCAATCCATTCGTTGAAATCATCAAAAAATTGATGTTAGTTTATCGTTTAGACTCATTTTACAAGCTTCATTTAAAAATCTAAATAAACATTCCTTTATTTTTTCCCAAAGCAATTTATTATATTTTTATCAAAATAATAATTGTTGTCGATTTTACCTTGGTCGTCACTTTTTTTAACTGCAAGAATTTTTAATCTAAAATAGTGTTAAAAAGGGGAGGGGGGGGGGAATTTGTGAGAGAAAAGTTATCAGAAGATATATAACAAATGAATAAGTTGAATAAAACGCTCATTTCCCAGTTGGTATAGCTTCAACAGTCGTACAAATGGCCGTTGAATTTTCACGAAAGTTGCTCGAGATGTTGCTTTCGCGCGGGCGCCTCTCAATTAGTGCGATAATAACTCTCCCACACCATTGGAGAGTTTACAGTGAGAACTGGGGATAGAGTGAAGTGGATATATATATATATATGTAGAGAGTATAGTTAAAGGAATAAAGCGAGAAGCGGGTGTTTCGTCGACGTTTTCCTGAGTTGCAATTAAGCCGACATCATTATCCCTCGAGCTTCATTCCACCGCGATCGAGCCCCTAATTCCGACATCAAGCCCCCAAGCCGCTCACATCGAAGTCTTCTTATAGCCGTGGTCGCTTCCAAGTCTCATGTCGCTGTTCATTCTCTATGCCCTGAAGAGTTTCACTTTTACTCCTTATTGGTGTTGAGAACTTGGGTAAATTGAATATTAACTGTAGCAGGGTGGAAGACATTATCCTCTTTTAGCTCCATTACTTTATTTGTGGCTGAATCTCTTGAAATTTTTGATTTCATTTTATAATTTTATTAATGAAATGTTTTTTTATTTAATTTTGTTATAATATTTTTATTCACCTTTTATAAGAAAGAACTTTTTAGGTAAAAAAGAAATCCTGTTTTAGAATTTTTTTTTTATTTAAAATGAAGTAAATTACTCCAAAAATGGCTTTTAGATATTTTTTAGAGTATTTTTGATCTTTTATTTTTAAAATCTCTATAAAACTAAAATCAAAAAAACTTGCAAAACATTTTAGAAAGATTTTTAGTATTTTTTTTTTTTAATTGTGACAATAATTCATTTTGTTTCCTTTTTACAAATTTTTTTTTTGCCTGTAATGGAATATGCAGAAAATTATCACAATTTATTTTTTCATTTCTTCATGAATGTAAAAAAAAAAAAAGAAACAAAGCATAATTATTTACATTTATTAATAAATAATTGCTTCAGAAATAAATGGAAATGCATTGACGACTAATTCGTAATGAAATTATTTTTGATATGAAAGAGAAAAATTTAATTCAATAACAAAAATTTTTCTACGCTTCAAAGGTATTTATAAAGTTGAAAAAAATGTAAACTCAACATGTAATAAACAAAAAATAAATAAATAAATATTTAATAAAGTTGATACTGTTAGAATAGAAATGATAATAGTAAATCAGAGGGTAAAAAATGGAGTGTTGTAAAAAAAGTTTATGTGTTGGTCAAACCAGATTGTACTTTACATGTTCATATAGGATACCATGTAGATGTCCGTATGTATACACATAAGAGTGTACATACAGTTTGAATATAGGAACTATCCCCATGTGTTGGTTGAACGTTGGAGGAATAAAAAGCCAAGCGCCAAAAGCCTCGCTAGTATAAAGTAAAATGGGAGAGGTCGAGGATTGAAAAAAGCGGGTTCGACGTCCGTTTATTAAAAGCACTTTCTGAAACGTTAACGCGCTTACTGCGACCCACTTTACGCGAATTCCAAAGCTTCGTCAGTAGTAGCTTTACTAACTCTTGCTTTAACCATCAATTTTTTTCTCTTTTAATTCTAAGTCTATTGCAATTATCGAGTATTAAAAAAAAGTTCTCAGCCTAGTCAGTGAAGTTTTTTTATTTACTTACATACCTCCACAAAGAACAATGTTTTAGCGCTATAATTAATTTATACAATACATTTTAAAACTTTAATTAATAAAGATGAAAAGCTGTGTAAATACAAAGGAAAAATGTTGAATAATTACTGTTTGCACTGAAAACATTAAAAAAGTTTAACTGCAGAAACGCTCCACTTTTAGCACAGATAAAAACTGTTGACTTTTTTTTTAATGAAATGCAGATTATATTAATGGACACAAGAACAAATAATTATATTATTAAAATATTTTCCTTTCTACTCTAAATATACGATATCTGTTTTATCTCTTTAAAAGCATTACTCCAGTCATTAAAAATTTAACTCTCGTCATTATACCTATGTCGGTAATTTTGTTCAACTATAAGTATGATAATATATAAACCAGTTATTACACGTGTAAATCATGCAATTTCCGTCACGAACTGTACATAGAATATGGATGCCAGCTATACTTATACATGCTACAAGTGTGGCAGTGCGAGACATAATTAGCACCTATTTAATACCTACAATTATTACGTATTGATAATCACTAAGTCGAGCGGCATCGATTACACTTTCAGTGATAGGCGTTAATAGCTTTTCCGTTTTATAGATTAGTTAGTAATAAATAGTATGCTTTAATTATAGTACATAAATTACTCCACATTTTTTATCAGGTCTAAAGGAAATGTTAATATTTCAGAAATAACTTGTTTAAATTTCTCCTTGTTATGTACTCTAGGGAACAAAATTACCTGTATCAGTTGAATATTTTTTTTATCAACCATATGAAGTCTCTAGAGACTCATTCCAGTTGAACAATATGTCATAATAAAATATATAATCATTATAATCAGGACAATTGATCTAGAACAGGACATATCTAGATTTTAGAAATGTCTATTGATTTGAATAAAATTATTTTAAATTTATTGTGTTAAAATACGCTGTTGAAAAATATTTTATTTTACTCTATTGAGTATTATTGCCTTGATCTGAACTAGTTTAAAAAATATTTTACTTTTTTTTTTTTTTTTTTTTTTTTTAAATCTAAAATTATAAATTAATAATTTCTTTGACTCTACAGTTCATAAATGTTTTAGAATAAAACAATATCAATAAAAACAAACATTTAAAATCTATTTAGACATCAATATTGTTGTTTTTTAATGTAAATTATAAGAGCATTTAAATTTAAATGATAAAAGAGAGTATCAAAAGCGTTACAATATGTACAATAGTATTAAAAAATATTTGTCTTGGCTTTAGTTTTTATAAAATTATCCATTATTTAATTATTTAAAAAAATCCTTTAAATTAAAAAGATACTTGTTTTATTTCTCTAGAATCGTTAGGATTCATTTTAATTATTCAATCAAATTTTTTATTCATGTAAGCAATTTTTTCTGAGCATAGTACAAATGATATCCAAGACTTTGATTGAAATATAAATTAATGTCCCAGCGGATGTTTTCTTGTTTTGTCTTACTCAGTAGTCGTATATTTCAAGTGTGAGGGATTGTTACCAGCAGAACCCATGAAATTGAAATATTAATGGTAATAGGTTAGGCAGTTTGCTGCGGACGGCGCATCGTATAACGTTACTGTCCGTTCCATGATCCCTTGTCGTGTGTCTCACAATAATAGCCGTATCTACTGTGACTCCCAGAGTTTGCTTTCATTATGCTATACACCACTCGAGCTTCGTTATGTACCCTAACCTTCTGTGCTTTTATGTCCGCACACTTGACACGTTTCACTCGTAAATGAATCATACTGAATCATTCATGCATAAAATATTTCCGCACATTATCCTGTTATTTTTACGTACTTGATACACTTTTTATTAGCCTTTAAATATCGACAATGTTATACTCGACGGAAAATACGACGATCCAAGTATACTTTTGTGAATTTTCATAACAGCCATCTTATATTTTTAATACAGTTATAAATTATCTTATGGATGGAAAAAATATTTTCTTGTAATTCTGGCAATAATAATAATTCATTTTTATTATCTGCCTTTTGAATATTTATGATATGCTTACAAACATGAAGATCATCCTAAAGAACTTTAATATAAAAAAATGAGAAAAAACAAAAAAAAATCAGTTTAGCATTTGATATAAATTATAGTCTTATTCTAAAATTGTCTTTATCATAAATACGATCATAAATTATATCATCAACGCATAAGTGGATGAAGGAAACTTAAGAGGGATAAAATGCTCAATAAATGATCATCATTATTCAGTGAATGATAAGTACAAAAAATTTAGGAATTATAAATTTTTAAAATATTTTATAATCTACAATTGGAATGTTAGAATGTTTTTCTAATTTTAGGCAGTAGAAAATAGTAATTAATAAGCTTAGAAGTTTAAAGTTAATAATATATTGATAATATTTAATGTAGCAGA